TCACAGATATAATCACAACAACATTGTGCGGTAGCTCTGTTCTCATCGAAGGCCAAACATGCGCTCTCACAAAATAGTGATCGGCGTTCTGCGTGTCCATCACATCGTGTACAAAGCCTGAATCCACGTACTTCCTTCCATTTTTCATTGGCTTATCGGTCATATGTCCCAGTCCGTCGTCGATGTCTGCTAGATCATTTGCAAGCGATTCTAACGCGTAGTAATACACGTGGCCGTAGTTAAAGAGAGAAGGAATGCAATGAGATGGAAAGTCCCGCCAGCCGGTCGACGGAATAAATGGCAGCGAAATCGAGCTTCCAGTCGCTTGTATCTGCGGACTTTCTTTAAGAACCTTGGCAGCGAACCATTTACCATTGTCAATGCTTGCATCGAGCGTGTGGTGATTCCCACACTTTATGCAGTCGCTCACACGTTTCACAAGGTCATCGCGTTTACCGCTCAGTTTTAAGCCCCTGCACTTTAACCACCGTTTTAGCTGGTCAACAGTGTATTCCTGTGGATCTCTGTCAAATTTAGAACCAGGAACGTCGTCGTCCTCGGTTAAAACCGTTAAAGATTGAAGCAAACTGCTTGCCATTCACAAATTTTCCCTTAGGATTACTCAGGATTTGGGTCTTTGATTGTCTGAGTCTCGAGGGGGGTCTGAAATTTCATGACGTCATTAGTGCAGAGCGCTATTCAGGAGGAAACATCTCCGACTTGGGACAGAATACCTGTTCCCTGAATGTTCTGTCACTTTGAAATAGCCTGCAGAACAGGCGGATTAGCGGGCTCTAGAGCGATACACGAGCATGCGCGCGAAGCGCGAGAATGAGCGCGAAGTGCGAGGAGAGATTTTTCTCGTCTCGCGCTTCGCGCTCGTTTTAGCGCTTCGCGCGCGCGCTGGTGTATCGCGTTAGAGCCCGCTAATCCGCTTGTTCTGCAGGTTACTTTGAAAATGTTCTTCCAATCTAGCCCTATCTTGCTTCCTTAACCAATCCCTCCCAAATAACGCTGGGCGTTTGCCTTGCACTACAATTAGATCAGGCACTTTTTCATCATTGGAATAACATTTCACTGCGGTACAGAAATCTTTCTAAAAATGAAAACCTTTTCACCCGAATAAGTTTTGGTGTATTACAATACAAAAAGGTTGTTATTACAATATTTCGGCTCTATTTCAGAACCATAGTCATGTAGTTAGATCAAAAACAAGTCGACAGCTTATAAATCAAGAACATAAAGCCTAGTATTTATGGGGGATCAAAGCCTCTAGAGAGTTAGATCTTTCTCTTTGATCAGTCTTTTTTTTTTTTTTTTTTTTATGAACGAAAGAACCCTTGATTGCAGGTCACCACATGCTCAATCCTATAGACACATGGTTCAACAAACACNAGCAAACTGCTTGCCATTCACAAATTTTCCCTTAGGATTACGCAGGATTTGGGTCTTTGTTTGTCTGAGTCTCGAGGGGGGTCTGAAATTTCATGACGTCATTAGTGCAGAGCGCTATTCACGCCGGTGTGAATACAAGAAAGCATTTTTTGAAAGGAGACCACTGGATTTCTCGAAAAAAAGGCTTTTCCGGTCGAATCTTCGATAACAATGCGCAGTTGACTCGAGAGAACAACTAACCATCGTTTTTCTCTAAAACTGGCAACTTTTCAAAGCTGCTTTTATTTCGCGTAGCCTCTTCTTCAAAGCACTGACAACAAGCTGCAAACAGGCAAGAAAGTCTTCTACGGTCTCTTTGTTATTTACAGTGTTTTAATACTGAAATGACTGACAACTGCCCTCTTCTTTCACTCAGGCTATAAAACAGGTCTTCTTTTAATGAACTGTGCAGTTCAGTATTTGCTCTTCTCGTTCGACAGTGTTTGCTCGACATTTCTCTCTGTTTTCTAATCAACACTTGCAGCGTCTATTTGTTAATGCGATCTATTATTATTTATCTCACAAACGAGACTGTTGATGTATTCGTGCATCGCCTGTCCACATATAAAGAAGACTTACCATTATTTTGATTTCCATGCAAGTAAAAGATGATGTCAAGATGACATCGAAACGTTGGTTTTTAGAGTTAAGATCCACTGCAATATTCATTACTAATTTCTTTTTCTAAATTAGAAGTCAGTATTTGCTGTGTATGCAACCAAAACTAATGCAAAGAAACACCGAAGTGAACATCTGCTTCAATCTACATTTACAGAAATTCTATATAAACGTCTTCGTTTGTTCAAACAACTTTTTCTTGATGTTTTCTTTATCTGATTTTATGAGCCTCGGTGTGAGCTCTCTTGACAGCTCTTAGAGTCCCCTACACTATATACACGCTTCCTCCATTGGTTCCATCTTCCACTACACAAACACACATTCACCCCGTAATTCACCTGTTTGCTCTAACAAAAGGCTAACGCTCCAAAAGTTAGTTTCGCTAACTCGCCAAGTCTGTTGATTTGCCTTTATCAACTTGATAATAAATAGTCTATACCTCGGTTTTTTTAAAATATAATTCAACTTTTCTCGAACTCAATCTTCTTGATATCAGGTGCCTTTGTTTTCAATGGCACGGTATTTCAACTTGTTTACGCCCAGACAAACGAAGTGGACAAACGCTGCCTAGCTGTCACTTTTTAATAATTATGACTTGCTAGTTGTTGACAATACTTAGACTCGCAGCTGCAGAAATATGCATTATCATTTTCTTTTTTTTATTACAATTTTTTTGAGCCACCTTTCCTCTTTTCTCAAGCACTGAACGGAACAAAAAGGGCAAATATTCTCTTTTCTACTGAACAAGGAAGAACTAATGCAGAGAACGGGTCTTCGTTTAATTTATCCACCTACTATGTTTACGTTTTGTTAGCGTATCAGCTGCCTTAATGCTCTAATAATAATAATGATGATTAAAGTTTGGGAAATTCATCAGAGAACATCGCCGCAATGTCTGAACGCCATCAATTCATCCTTAATGATCCTTATTTTATCTTATGGAAGATTAATGATATAAATTTCCAATATTCTTTGAATTTTGGAATTACGATAAACCAGACTACATAAAACTCAAGACTTCGTATTTTCCAAATTGCACAAGCCCATGAAAATTATTCCTTGATTACGGAAACCAAGAAAAACTATTCTTTTTCGCCTCGGCAGAATTACTCAGCGTTCCTAACCAAATATACGATCTCTCGGCTTCCTGCCCTTGTTTTGAATAAAACGGATCATCACTTTAGCCTGAACCACCCACTGCTTATCTTAACTCCCTTGACAAGAAGACCGTGTTGGAATAATAAGTCTTTTGGAGACAAACTGTCGTGAATTCCACTTTTTTCATCACAGTCTGATGTCGAACAAGTCTTAATTAACACCATGTTTTTCCCGCTGTTACCAAAACAAGCTCATTAACATGCAATAGCGATAAACTAAATTAAGTAAGCACCACTCTTAAACTCTTGGCAGCTTTTGGAAGAACCTTCTTCACCGTTTTATATAGTTTTTGTACTTTTTTTTTTAGGTAAGCTAAGCGATAATGTAACTCGAACCAGGGCCGTAGCCAGAAAGAAAAAAATTATTACAGGCAATGTCCAGGAAAAAATTATGACTGAAGGAATGTCCATGGTTAAATTCTTTTCCTAGTATTTAGGGTGTTTATGACCATAAACAACAAAAACGAACAGCAATGACTGGGGCTAGTACCTCGGTTTGCCAAAGCCCTGCGAACAAGAGCTAACTGGATGGACAGGAAAGCACTTGTCTGATTGTGTCTTTCACTGCTTGATTTACTTCCTTTATCTTCCAGCAGTAAAGAATCGGGTTTAACGACGAATTTAAGTAAACTAAAGTCACTGTATATTCCCTGGCAAGAAAAAGAGGAGTCGATAGCCCACTAATAGACATTAAAGCTATGACTACACTGTCGGGTAGATAACAAACGAGTAACGTGAACTGGAGAAATAGCGCAGTGGACACTACCCTCCTGTATCGCGCTTTGTTCAGTTGATTTGTTTGGTTCGGTTGTTGAACATGGTCTTGTACTTGAGTTTGATGATGACGGAGGGTGAAGAAAATCTTGGTGTAAGAGAAGATTGAGGTTACAAGACACATAGATGCAACTATTATGCTACACGATATGGCTATGAGGACATTAATCAACGACATCATAGATATGACAGTCTGCACAACCCAGATGGTTATAACGATCACGTAGGTGCGCTTCAAAGTTACAACTTGTCTGTATCTCAGCCCCAACAACAGGGCGAGAAGTCTGTCCACGCTTATTGCAGTCAGTGTCGACAGAGACACTCCACAAAAAATGGGGTCTGCTATAAAACCAGTGACTGATGAAAATCGACAAATATCCCAACTTTCGTTCATCACAGAGACCAAAAAAATAACAAAGAGAGGGTGTGAGATAACACCAACACAAAGATCAGTTGTTGCAAGGTTACTGAGCAAGAGTTTGGACGGCGGATGAAGTGAGGACTCCTTGCGAAGAGCAACTACGATCAAAGCATTCCCAAAAACTGCAGTAATGCACAAAAAACTGTTCAAAACTGAGATAAATCTTAGCTGGCCATGTGTGCCAGCAGTTAAACTTGCCCAACAAAACGTTAGTTCAAGTCCTCCGTGCTGTCCGTCTTCAGAAACGTTGGCTGCTGTCATTACTAACTCCTCAATACTTTTATCTCACTTCTGTCTTAGACACAATATATATGTAACTAGAGTAACGTATCTCTAAAGTTGATCATTCAAAGCTCTTCCGTGTAAATCTGTTTTGGTCGTGGGCTGTTCGGTCGCTTTTAAAATAATGTACGGTCATAGACAGCTGTTTGCTGCGCCTATTTAAACGCAAATGAGCGCCCTCATATGAAAAAAAGGGCATTAGCTGATGTTGCCCATTCTAGTAAAGCTCACGTCGAAAAATAAAAATATTTATTATACGGCTGAACTGGTCCGCGATGAAAAAGAACAATTCTGATTGGTTCCCTTCGCGGTTCGAAATTTTCATTATGAACCGCAAAGATGAACCGCTCACGAATTAATTTCGGGAAATTGCTGTCTAAATTCATAGCGCAAAATAAACAGTTTTTTTTTTTGTTAAGTAAGAAATCAATTAACCTTCAAGTTTGGAGAGTAATTTCAGTTAAAAGAGCCATTGTAATGAATATTTTATTGAACTAGCATGTTCGGTCCTTATTGGAGAATATTGGTCTCGCTCTTTTGTTTTTTTTGCACGTTTATGGACCGAGCCGCAGACCTCATACTGGTTCAATAACATATATATGGGTTATTGACCAAGCGTGAGGTCAGGATGTATGGGTTATTGACCAAGCGTGAGGTCAAGATGGCTGGATATTGCCCAAGTTCGCTTTTTGCTTGTTTATGGACCGAGACGGAGTTGAGGTCCATAAACTCGCAAAAAGATAGAACGAGGCCAATATCCAGCCATCTTGACCTCACAAGCTTGGTCAATAAGAGATTTATTATACGAAAAAATAAAACTATTTTCTTGCGGGAAACAAGGTAAACCCGAGCGGGCAAGATAGCGACATCTTGCCCGCTCGGGCAGCCAATCGCAGCGCAGGATTCGGTTCATCTTGCCCGCTCACGGGGCTAGCCGTATAAAATATATATGTGCATACTGTGCTCGGAGGAAAAAAAGCAGAGTTCCATACAAATTCCTACGCATGCTCAGAGCCCCCAGTTGCTCCTCGGATAAGCAGTGTTTAGTAATAACTTCAAAGCTTAAAATAAAGTTGAGATTCTTGACAGCTCCATGTAAGAAATATCATTGTCTGCTTACCTGATATTTAACATATCTAAGCAATTCATGCTGGCGCGACAGGGATAGACATTTTTTAAAGGCATCCACTGAACTCATTTAATGGATTTACCGAAAAGGGGCTGTTCCAGTTAGACTACGAGTGTCCCTCTTTCGTTCAGTCCGTCGAGCGTGACGCAAAAGAAAACCGCGAGAAAAAATCGCCCCCAGGATTTCGCGTGGCCTTTTTTTTTCTCGCGGTTTTGTTTGGCATCACGCACGACGGACTAAGCGAAAGAGGGACTACGCGTAGTCTATGTTCTGCTTGAAGCTTCGATAAGCAAGCGTCAGTCGACTCGAGATAGTAGTAAACCATCACGTTTTTCTCAAAAACTGAGAAATTTTCCAAATTGGTTGTATTCCATGTGGCTTCCACTTCAAGACACTCGTAACAAGCGATGATTGACAATTTTCCTCGCCTTTCATTCAAGCTGTCAAACAGGTCT